TTGTAGGCTCGAGCTCGAGCTCGAAGCTCGATAAGCTCGGCTCGTGAGCTCGTTAACGAGTAGAGTTCGAGCCGGCTCACGAGCCGACTCGGCTCACTTACACCCCTACTCTAGTGCAGCGGGCGGCGGCAATGGTGGCCGACTCCTGGTGGAGGCAATCAAGCGAACTTGCTTGAGGTGTAAATGGTTTTCGCTCAAAATTGAGCGAGTTTAGTTCACCTCAAAAATAAATTAAAATGGCTTACACTATATTTATTTTACTTTGTATTCCTTTTTCATACAACCAAATATAAATATTTTCAAAACTCTGCATTTAAAATAATTTACACCCATTTTACTTCCAACCAAGTAACCCCTAACAAAAATATTTTAATTCTCTCCAAAATCAAAAGATTAAAACAATAAAGTGGGTGTAAAACTAATTGAATATAAGATAATAAAAATATACGTTGTCGTTTAGTCATATACAACTGAAGGCAGAAGAAACATCAATAAAGTGGGTACATATAGTTAATGTAGGACTAACGAGAAAAATGATAGACTTAAGGGTAACAAAAAGTTATTCAAGTGTGAGGAAAGTTAAAATCTTCAAGCACTCAACTAGGATATATAAAATAGGGTTCATAAAGCTGGCCTAAACTAATTGGGATAAGGCTAATGATGGTTAACACAAGCAATCTATCAACCACACTATACTAATAATACCCAAAATCATGATGATGTGACAACTGAAGACAATTGTTGAGGTGATTATCAAAAATTACATTTATGCAGTCAGGATTCCATACCCTAAATTGGCAAAACCTTGAGGTGATGTGAAACATGTATGAAAACAAGAATTGCTTTGCGAAATTAATAATAATGTGAACAAATTAAGCTTTGCCAATTATAAAACATATGTTTCACGAAGTTAGATTCTTGAATTTTCAATTAGAAGTCATGTAATAGTATACAGTTACAAACAAGATTAAAAGGATACTTGCAAATAACAACAAAGTAAATAAGCAAAACTAATGGCAAAGTAAAACAAAAATCGACGGCTTAACAATTAGAAATTGTTCACCATGAGTTCCCTCACTCTCGCTCTTGAAAGTGGTGTTTAGCAGAGAAAAGGTTAGAAGTAACCCTAGTAATGCCACCACAAGACAAGTGACGCGTAAGGTATTGTTCGTTGAAGAAGTAGCCGAAGGAGGGGAAGTTAAGGGTCATCTGATGATTTGTCACTGTCCAGTTGGTCGTTGCTCGTCAATCATCTCGGCGAGATGATAGAGTATGCGATCTACGTAGCTTTCCACTGAACCTTCGAATTCTCAGTCTGGATCAAAGAAGGGTGACTGAAGGATGTCGATTTTCCCTTGGGAGTTGTATGCAAATCTGTGGTCGACTTTAGGATCGGCCATTCATGGAGGCGACGTCGTTTTGAAATAATCCTTGTGTGTGTAAGGATTTAAAGGAGGAGAGACGTGGGGGGAAGTGGGAGAGGATGAAATTTCGGCTAGTGTTATGGTGGGTTGTGTTGGGATTAAGGTTGGTAGAGTAAAAAGGCTTAGGTTGAGAGAAATCTGAAGTTAATTCTCATATTTTCTATGGAAGGAAAGATTAATTTGAAATCCAAATTAATCCTAAATATGGGCTTAGGAGGGGCGGCAGCCAAGGGGGGAATTAAGAGGCATTTAATTAGAGTCTAAGTGGTAAATTGGAGAGAAAAAGAGAATAGAGAGGGGCCGGCCATAAGGGAGGTGTTTAATATGTCTAGGTCTAAAGTATTGTGCCCGGGGGAATTTAATTAGTGATTATCATTAAATCTGAGATTGATTTCAGATTTAATATAATTGGTAGGTTTTCTAATTTGAGTTTATTAAAAGGGAAAGTTTTTAAAATTCAAATATATATTTGAATTCAAATGATGTGACTTTCCAAATTAATAGTGGGGTAAATTAGGAAAGTAATTAAGGTTGATTTGAATTTTGAAATTCAAAATTTAAGGGTAATTGGGTGGAGGGGCCGGCGGCTAGTTGAGGCTAGGGAAGGCCGGCAGTGAGGGAATCATGGGGGGACCGGCGGTGGGAAGGGTTTGGGAAGGTCGGGGGCTTGGGGAGGTGGTGAGGGGCTGGCGGGTTCGGGAAAAGAAAGGAAAAGGTAAGGGAGGGCTTGGCCGGCGGAAAGGAGGTAAGAATAGGGGTGGTGGCAGGTAGGGGAGACGGGAAAAGAAAGAAGAAAAGTAGAAAACCAAGAGCTCACCCGAAGGGGCTGTTGGATACTTCGTTTGAGCCTCTCCTAGGCTTCACCACTCTCTCAAAACTCACAAGAAAGTAGGAGACAGAAATCTGAAATTTTTATTAATCATAATTAACCTCATACAAAGCAAAATACCTCTATATATAGGCCTCAATAATGAAGAAAAAAAAAGACTCAAATGCCCTCGGGGCTATAATAAGAACTCACTACCCATAGGGGTAAACTAGGAAAACTGAAATGCAAAATAAATAAAACATAAAATAAATCAAAACTAAAGGCTCTGAATCGTAGCCTTCGATCTACGATTCCGTCGATGGTACACATGTCGAAATCTCTGACTGATGTCCTCACAATGAGGCCCATACTTGATAAATGTACATTAGCGAGTAATATCCATTATGAGGATGAATCAATACCAGCACAATTTTACATAGAGCGTAATCACACGGGGCATTTTAAAGTAACATTAAGAATGGTTCATTCATTCAATTTTTGTTAATGAAAAATATGAAATTTTACTAGTTTCATATAAATCTAGCTGCAATTGAGTATTTCATGTCAGCACTTATAGTCTACCAGTTCAAATAAGCTGAACATTTTAATCCAATTGTTCATGATGTATCAATTTACAAAATTTCCAAACAGTCAGAGTTGACTGATTTTTTTTTAATACAAGAAGCCATGGATAACAAGTAAAAAAAAAAGATACTTTCATGTATTTTTATACCCGACAAAAGAGTATTCCATGCTAGCATATCCCTTGCTTCTAGACTTTAGCTGGTCAAAGAAGTCACCAACCATCTACAAATGATAAGAAGTAAAAGATCAGGAGCTAATGGCATTTGATGCTCCAACTTTGAAAGGAGCACAGAAGTTGTTGCAAGTTTAAACAAAAAACTATTCAAACTATAAATAATAGATCAAAATGGACACGCTGATTCAATTTGCCATAGTAGTTGATCCCAATCACATGTGCACCATCATCATTACGAACACCAACAAAGGTATTTGTGACTAGCCTGGGAGGAAACAGAACATGGGGAACCAGCAAATAGACTTCAAAGAAAATGGTGAGGTAACCGAGAAAAATTATTGTTCAAAGATTTAACCACCTTTCAGGTGACTGCAGCAGAGCATACAGACAAAAATAGAAGAGTAAAGGAACATGGATTTTATAGATGATTATGATCATGGCAAGCATCCAAAAGTTTCCTAGGAATATTACCTCAGCTAGTGGTAATTCGTAAATAATTGATGCTCTTCCCTCTGTTATGTAATTCATTTCTTTGAAAACACCTCTTCTTTCCTGACCAAGCTCCATAAGAGGGCCAATATAATCCTTGGGCGTCAGCATTTCAATCTACAACATGATTGTTTTCAATGGGAATGTTGTTATCACCATATTTTGAAACATCAGTCAACATCAAAAGAATGAAAATAGCCAAAAGAAAGAACCTTCACAACTGGCTCTTCAATTGAAATTCTCTTTCCTGGTTCTGGAAGTAATGATGGGTTTGAGCATTCAATCTGCACATAAAAGTTCCATAAATAACTAAATGTCCTCCAAGTCATTTGCATAATTTAGGCAGTTTGAAATTATGTCACTACACTTCCAAGGTGGAACTCATGAATTCTCAATACCTCATAACTAGTGTCATCATTAAATAAAGCATAAATCTACATGTATATATAAATGAATGGATGACAAAACCATCATACAGATAACACAAACGTCTAAAACTTCAATAATATGATCAGTCCAAGAAAAGTTTTTAATTCGTTTAATTTCTCTAGTTTAGACAATAGAATAAAAAAATAGGAGAATTGGAGTAAAATGGACTCCAAATATTAGCAAGATTCAAGTAAAAAAAAAAAACCAACCAATTTTCGGATGTAACTGTGCCACCATGATTATTCTTGATGAAAGGGGGAGTTAAAATGTCGTAGAAGATCATAAGAGAACATATTAGCCTAACTAGCTCACAAGTTAATAGGTGACGAATAATAGAAAATTGATATTAGATACATCAAAATGAATTGTGGGGTAGTTATCAGGGTTGGGGCTTCTCTAGGATTCAATCTGCACATAAAAGTTCTGTAAATAACTAAATGTCATTCAAGTCACTTGAATAATTTAGGCAGATTGAAATTATGGCACTACACTTCCAAGGCAGAACTAATGAATTCTCAATCTGCTTCTCAATGCCTCAAAACTAAAGGCATCATTCGATAAAGCATAAATCTACATGTATATATAAATGAATGGATGACAAAACCATCATACAGATAACACAAACGTCTAAAACTTCAATAATATGATAAGTCCAAGAAGAGTTTTTTCCTGGTTTAATTTCTCTACCTTAGACAAAAAAAAAACAGGAGAATTGGAGTAAATGGACTCCCAAGTTATTAGCAAGATTCATGAAAAAAAAATAAACAAACAATTTTCGGATGTAATTGTGCCAGCATGACTATTCATGATGGAGTTAAAATGTCACAGAAGATCATAAGAAAACAGAGTAGCCCAAGTAGCTCACAAGTTAATAGGCAACGAAATAAGAGAACATTGATATTAAATACATTCAAATGAATTGTGGGGTAGTTATCAGGGTTGGGTCTGCTGTAGGAATTCAGGGAGTCTACAGTTAAGAGAAGGATTCTGCCAAAGTATGCACAACAAATCATGGTCAACTAGATCTGATGATTGGGTGCTCGAAAGAAGGTTTAAATCATGAGTTAAGTTTCAGATCTTGAGAAGCACAATAAGTTTCTGTAGTATGGTAGCACTGAAGAGGACTAAATGAACAAGGATTCAGAAAGTCAAATCCTAATAATTATGATAAACATAAAGGTGGCAACTGCTGGAACTTTTAGTGTGTAGTTTCATTTTCAGGTTTGACTTCCTTTTTAAAATTCTACTAAGAATATAAATACAAAATAAATTCAAATATTTTCAAACCATATATGTTAATCATTAGATTCAAAAACAAAAATTAGCAAGCATAAATTAGTTAAGGAAAAAATTTTAAATTAAAGATTCACATAATTTTTAATAATATAATTTATTCCTCTTTTCAGCTTGGGCACAATAAGTTGCGATCAAATATCGCTAATGAAACTCTGATTTCAGCTGCTTTGCCCAAATTTTGAAAATAAGAGCACAGTGATACGTCATAAACTTATTGAACACATGTTAGAATTGGAATTGGCAGTTCAACATGTTTCATGAAGGTCATTGCTTATCAGAAGCGTCATGGATGGGTAGCATGGTCGGAATGTAGCACAGGTGGGCAGGGCTATGGAACAAAGTAAATAAAGGCTTGAAAGGGTTGCTATTAGGTTCAGATTGGGCCATGACAGGTCTCAGTGTGCTCATGGACAAAACACTTACTGTTTGGCGTAGGATTGGGCCCTTCAACATGGATACATAAGAGAAAAGCCTCAATCACAAGGTCTAGCAGTAATCGTGTAAATTTAACATTTTATTTATGTTATAAATTAATCTCATCATGAACTAAATACAATAGGAACACACTTATAAGTCTCAAGTCCAAATCAACTATAAGTTATAATTAATAGGGTTTGCAAAATTCTTATTCTCTGACCATAATATTCCCTCGCATTTTAAAATATCTAAACAAATTTCACTCTCTCTATACGAGAGAAATCAAGAAAGGTACTACAATAATCAGAGAAAGAAAAATCTAGTATTTAAATCTTCATTTCATAACAATGTCCAAAAGGCTTTTTTATGAAACAAAAGGCCCTTGGGACAATGACAAAAGAAATCTCAATGAAGTCAAGTCCTGAACATTTTATGACCTTTTGGATGACAGGACTTGCATGCCACCTAAAGGCAGCAACTCTCTTGCAAATTGCAGGTCATACAATGACTTGCACTAACACTCAGCGGGTAGGCTTGAACTAACCAGCTTTCTTAGGCCAACATGTTCGAATCTTTTGAAAGCTTGGGAGATGTGACAATAAATGATCTTTGGATGAGAACATAACATTCAACTATTAAAAGGATAGTTCTTGTAGCACATAAGAATTGATAGTGGAGCATCACAAAGAATTGCATGACATGATCCACCAGATTCACTGCTTCCACATACAACCAGGCACTTAGACTCATCCAACAACATAATAATCACCATTGTGTAAACCACATCCCAATGGTACAATCCGGCGAAGTTATCTGATTAGTTTTTTTTTTTTTTCAACTTTATTTTGATCATATCTTATATCATTTTATGACTTGAGATAAATTTAAAAATTCTTTTGATATTTTGTCAATATCTAAACTGGCTGTAATGTCAATAAAGCTTAAGGTTTGTTCATATAAATTGGACCTTAAAGCTAATATGATGGCGATTATAATAAAATGATGATTGAAATTGGGAATGTCTGACATGCCTAATTATGTGACCGGCATGCTCGCTTCTCCTTCTGCTAATGCCTTGTTCACATAAACCTCCTTCCCTCTTCTGAATTTGGTTTCTCCAATGACTCCCTTCTCTATTGGTTTTTCTCTTTCTCTATCCATCTCATTCTCTCAGTTTACTCAAAGTATTAAATGCTAGCTGCCTCCCCCTCAACCTCGCTGAACCATGCCTCCAACTTCATGAACCCCCTCCGAAGATTATTGCCATCAACTTTCCAAAAATCATAAATTAAAAGCCATATTTTGAATTAGAATCCCACAAAATTTTAACACAATGATCAAAAAATCACGTACTACAATGGCATAAAAAATCACGCTAATATGAATTATTTGACCTATAAATGCAGGAAATTGTATCGCTGCCACCAGATGAGATTTGCAGTTTCTCTTGGTTTCATAGTATCACCATGGCTTCATGCTGCATCAGTCTAATAGGCTTGGGAAACTAATGTAGGATAGGATGAACCAAGCTTGTGCCTAATCTAGAAAGTTTTAAGATGAATAAGCAGCAGGCTTAGCTTTCTTAAAACTGGTTCAGCGGAGACCTATAAGAAATTCCTTATGTAATGCAGGTTCTGGCATAAAGCTTATTAAACAACTACCAAAAACAAAAGGTGTCAAATTTATAAGTTTTCAATATGATAGGAATTAAGATTTTCTTTCAGGAGTAAGATTGGAGAATTAAACTTGGTGAAGACTTTTCATATAGCTGGGCCATATTAAAGTAGTACATGATGAAATTCATTACAAAAAACAGTATATGTATTGAATTTTATCATGTTAACAAGTGGATCATAAAATCATAAATTTTTCCTCTCCAATTTACAAAAGTTAAACATATAGATCCTTAACACTCTGTTTTGCAGTACGCCTTTTATCCTTATTATTCACTTTTTTTTTTTTCATATAGCTCATTCGTTAAATCAAATTCATCTACCTATATGAATTAAGATTTCATCCAGCTCTTTGATTTACTTTTTCCAAGAAGACTTGACTGTAACAATACCATCTCACATGGCCCCAAGTTGAAATAAAAGATTACGATATTAAAGAAACTGCACAAGAAAAAAAGAAAGATGCGCAGGACATATAAAACTAGTAGTTCAAGCTAAGAAAAATACTGAGGCAGATTAAGTAATTTATGGCATTTAATAATAAAGGAACAATTGAAAGATATCACTAAGATATAAAGTTGAAAGAATCATTCTTCTTCTTGTAATGGGCAAATTTTCACAGTGAAATGAAACCAATAATTAGTATTCTACTTCTGAAAAATGAGAACAATGAAGCTTGAAAATAAATAAATGAATAACTGGATTGAGGATCACAAAGAATTTACAGTATCACCATTCACACAGTTGACACGGTAAACCACACTAGGTGCTGTTGTTATTAAGGTTAGGTTATACTCCCTCTCTAGTCTTTCCTGCAAATAACAAATAAAAGAAAGCCATGACATAACTTTACGGGTTTTAAGTCATTATTAAATGCCATAAATACTTTTAAGAAAGATAATGTCTTGTTTATTGTTTTACCTGAACAATCTCCATATGCAGAAGACCTAAAAACCCACACCGAAAACCAAACCCCATGGCACTTGACGTTTCAGCTTCAAACTACAACAATAAATACCTACCTGAGAATATACAATATTGATTTTTGATGCAGTGAAGTATTTGAGTTATAAAAATATGATATTCATCAAAATAAACCAAGGATAATAACCTTTTAAAATGTTCATTGCAAACTGTAGGAACAAATAAAAATGAAAACGACCCAGCTTGCTAAAATGTAATACAGATAACATGGTTTTAAAGCAAACAAAATTAGTATCTTCCATAAAACTAGGCAAATATTTCGAATTTTCAAATATCAACTAAGGTTAATAGTTATTCCTTTTGTAATTAAGCTAGTTTTATTCCTAAATTATGAAATGATACTGACATGAACTAAAGCAAAAAAGAAACAAGGAAAAAATATGATAAGTTGATTAACTATTGGAATTTCACATGAATCTTGTTCTCAAATTCACACACAGATCATAATAAGCCAAAATGAATGTAATAGAAATTTCAAAGATGTTGCAAGCTGGCATAGACTAAGGTTCCAGGGATGGCTCCTGCTGCTGCTGTAATTCAATTGTAAAATTGTCATATGAAAAATTGTTGAAGTTACTGCTGCTGAAGTTCTTACCATTGTTTGAAAAATCAGTCAGGATGCGATTTGTAAATTAGAAAGTGGTTTGTTGTTTGTTAAGCTTCTGTGTTGTTGTATGTGAGGAAATGAATCAGATGCATTTATAAGATTTTGAACCAGATTTCAAGAGTTAATGGAGACCAAATATGTAATTTTTTAAGGATTGAACCAGATTTTTTTATTGAGTATTTTTTAAGGACAATTTAGATTGTTGTTGCATCCCATATATAATTATAAATTTTAAACATCAAATATCTAATAAATGGGCATACGATCAATTGCCCCAAACATCTATTATCTATGCCATTTTTATTGCCTATTTACATAGCTAATAGCAAGCCTCAAAAACATATTCAAAACAACAAATTCAAACCAAGTTACCAGCAAGTTCAAAAAAAGAAAAAAAATAGCTGCCAAATGTTTCAGAAAAATAGCACGAAGTATAATGCAAGATACGGAACCAATTACACAAACCTAAAAAATAAATAGATCTAAGCATTTCAAAGTAGTTGTTAATGTATTTCTTCCAAGGTGAAGACGAACTAAATTGTCTTAAATGGGTTTTACCACTTTTACAGGGAGACATTCATGCGGACATCCAACCGGCCATGGCTATCCGAGAAGCTGAAGATCAACGGTCGTCATCGTCCCACGTTATCTTATATTTTATTTGTAATTTTTAAAATTTTATTATAATTTTTCCGTTTTTACCCTCACTTAAGATGGTCGTTCTATGTAAATCAAAGGGGCATATGTGTCTTGTTTTAATTTCTTAGGCCTATATATAGAGGGCCTTTCTTGTGTAATGGGATGATGAATTGTTAATGAAATTTTATTCTACTTGTTTGATCTCTTAGTGAGTTCATGAGAGGAGAAGGATCGCTTAGCGAGTTCTGAGATTCCCAAGATCTCTTTGTGAGTTCTTAAGGAAGTGGCGCTTGTAGATCTCTTTGTGAGTTCTATTGGAGGTGTTGCTCGAGGTGTGTAGCTCCGGATTTTCTTTTTCCTAAACCCAATTTATTTCTTCTCTACCTAACCAAACTCTCTTCCTCCCAAATCCCCTCCAC